GGGGCTGGCACCTGCCCACGTTGGCCAAGTCAAATTTAGCCGAACACGAAAACAATCAGCTCTTTGGGCTTGCCAGAAACTCTCGAAGCATGAATGTTGTCACACAGAGTGATGTTACTCATTCAGCTTCAGTTTTGACACTACGAATACGAACATAAATTCGATTCTGAAAGCAAATTGGGCAGTAAAGAAGAAGTCTTTATAAATGGAGTGAAGAAGGAAACATACCGTGCAGCACTGCGTGCTAACTTTCGGTTCCTGTACGGTGAGAAACGTTGTCTGCGGTTGCAGACTGAAAATAGTCTGTTGTTGCGGGAGGAGATTCATCGAAGCAGAGAGTTGTAGTGGTTGTAAAAGTGGCATCTGTGGTACCTGAATTTGCACTGCCGGGACCATGATCGCAGCACTCCCTAGCTGGGAGCCAATAACGCCCGTTGATCCACGACTCGTAATGCTGATTGTTCCATCGCAACCTTTAAAAATTCTCGGTTTATCTAAAAAGTCAAATTCCCTGTTGTATTTATCTTCATCAGTTTGCGGAGCTTCAAAAGTACTTAGTTCCAATCAGCTGTAATTCATACTCTGGTCCTCCAGTTAGGCAGTGCAACTTTTCCAGTCGCATTGATCAATGCTGGCATCACCGGTAGCTGATCCACTTCCCTCCGCGATTAGTTCATTCTATAGTACTAAATTGATACTAGCACTGTCAATTAGTCAAAACAGTCATCAACATGCTTCTAAGCAATCCTTACAAGAGTCAACCACAGACAGCTTTGTAGCGGATGATTGCTGTTAACATTAGCAACCGTCCAGGCTACTTTCTAGCCTCACCACTTCTAGTGCTGAGCGTCTACAAAGGAATTTTTGGCTGTTACATTTTGCTGTTTTAGAATAACAATCAAGCGGAAAGAATTGTCAGAGTGACTAGCAGGCTGGTTAATGGACGATGCAGCGTTCGATTAAGCAACTGGAAAGTTGATAGTTTTGGAGCTGGAAAACTATGTATTATAAAAATTGAAGATGACCAGTGTGCCAGGCTAAGTAATCATAAATAATTTCTCATAATTTTTTTTTTTTTCGCTCGGCTAGTGATACTGCCATCTGGACGAGCACCTTTTTTGATTTCCTTCTTTTCTCCGTCCTCACTCACTGTGCATTGACAACATATATCCGGCTTCTTTTCGCCAATAATCATCGGTAATGCGCTTGCTGCTGCAAGTATGCATGCGAACATCGCAAACTGTCGCATGCTTAATGCAAACTGCGGCACTGATTCCCTGGAATGGTTCAAGATGAAGTCCGAGGATTCTTTCCCTAAGCTCACTGGTAAGGAATCGATAAGAAATTTTATTATTCCTTTCTCATTTTTGCTTTTACCATTCTTTCCATCTTTCTAGCACTACAATACATCAGATAGCGCCACATTACTGCCCTACTTTATTCTTGTTTTCACCCTGCAACAACACATATGCTACAGAAGTTCCCTAAATAGAAATTAAAAAAGATTCTGATGAAATTTATGCTTTATGTAGTAGCGTCATCAGACAGTATAGAATGGTAAACA